CAACAAGGTATGTAAATTTCTACAGAAGATGTATTTTCATAATACTGATGGTGCAATACAATTTATGTTAAGCTGTCTTGACTTTTGTACAAGGTGAAGTGTTTGCTCTGTGCCAGGGAGCTGGGATATAACAACAACACCTCAGCCATGCTTAGGCACTACAGAGCTTTGCATGAGAATAAGGGGAACACCGATTGTGGAGCAAGACCAGGTGAGCCATCAAATGCAATGATAATATAGCATGCAGTAATGTTACTAAATGATATGACAATATTATACAACTGTAATGAGTTACGTGTGTGATATTTATATTTGTGCTTTGTTTTTATTGTCTTTGCTCAGGAGAACAATCTCAAATAGATGATAACCTGGTTAGCATGGTGATTGAGGACTCCCAGCCAGGACAAAGGATTCAAAAGATTTGTTGAACCATTAAATCCTAGCTATGTTCTCCCCACTAAAAAGGTCATAAAAGCAGTGAAAATTTAGTTTTTACTGAATAAAATGTGAACAGGCAGGACTGAGGCTCAAAGCCTCAGTGTGTAGCTGTCCATACCTCAACGTTACAAAAGCACAACCACTGTCCACACCCCAACCACACCTCACCTCACAGTAAATGATCATTTCCATTTTAAGCATTTCCAAATAATCATTTTCCATACTGCCAGTATAAACATACACAGTATACTGCCATCACTACAATATAGATGTTTTACACACTACTTTTGTTGTTGACATTCACAGGCTGTGTGCAAAAGGCCACACTCTTCAATTTCATGCCAACTAATATTTTTACGTCCAGTAGGTGTCCTACTAGAGCAAATGAAGCTTCAAGAAGCTTTGTGCTGGGGTGAACCAATTGGATGAAAAGCTTCAGTGCTTCATGAAGCTTCATCTGCCCATCACTACTTAGACAACCTCTCAGGGCGTCACAGAGCAGCTGTATTTGTATTGACATTAGATTACACACAGGTGCACTCTATTTAGTCATTAACACTCATCAGGCAATGTCTATGGGCAACTGACTGCACTCAGACCAAAGGGGGCTGAATAATTACGCACACCCCACTTTTCAGTTATTTATTTGTAAAAAAAATGTTTGGAATCATGTATGATTTTCGTTCCACTTCTCACGTGTACACCACTTTGTGTTGGTCTTTAGCGTGGAAATCTAATAAAATTGATTCATGTTTGTGGCTGTAATGTGATAAAATGTGGGAAAGTGTAAGGGGCCGAATACTTTTGCAGAAACTGTATTTACATTTGTGTCGTTGACTATTTTGATGTTAGGGTAAGTGAAGCCAGAAACAGGAACACATCCACCAGACACTTTATTAGTAACACCTACTATACTTCTCCTTTAATATATTATATATCCTGTATTATGCGAATACCTAATTAGCCAGTCATATGCCACCAGTTCAGTCCATTTAGACAAGCAGAAATGCTCAAGACAACGATATTCAATTTCCAGCAGAGCTTCAGAATCGAGACGAAAAGTGATTTAAGTGACTCTAAAGGTGATGTGACTGGTCATTTCAGAAACTGTTAACCGACTAAAGTTTAGACTGAAATATTTTGGTTGCATCTTGAAACAACACATCAGGAGAAAGGCTGCAATGACCTCATCTATTAAATGGACTAGTAGTAATATAGCACCTTTCTGCTCAATTTTGAGCACTCAGAGCACTTTGTACTACAAATCTCATTCACCCAACCACGTGCATACATACAGTGCTTTTATCTATACCTAAGGACTTTTCTCCAACATTCACGCACATTTTAGTGAATGCATCTAGGGCAATTTGTGGTTCAGTACCCTGCCCAAGGATATTTTGACACATGACTGATAATTGGAGTAATCATACAGTCAGGGTTACCATTTGCCTTTTTCTTGATTAGCAACAATGAGGAATTTTGGACATTGATGAGTTTATCCCGTCCTTAAATTTTTGTGCAGGCTGCAAGCGATTTTTCTTTCTCTGACAGAACCTTTAACACCATCAGTGGTGGAGTAAAAAGATTAAGGTTAAATGTGCATTAAACACTATAAAGATGCATCTGGAAGAATCCATCCAATCCCACGCTAGCTATTTAGTCTATTTAGACAAACAGACATGGTTGACCTATTCAAATTCAAATGGAACTTCACAATCAGGTGTGTCAAAAGCTGAGGTGGGAACAGAGGGAAGGCCCGGTCCTGCAACAGAAGGTGTGTTTATTGCATACACACACAAAAGAAAAGACTGATAGAAATATGTGAAACGCACAGGAGACTGGGGAACCATGGTAGTTTTTAAGCTAAGCTTAAGCTAAGTTAACAGCCTATTTACTCCACAACAGTATACGTGGAGAAGAGAATGGTTTCAATTCTCTTATTTAACTCTGCAATGAATGAAAATTTTAGCTATCGAACACAGCTAACATACAAGTTATATTTTTTTACTGTAGTAAGCACAATAACAACAGCGTTTTAATGTGTTGCATTTATGCAATAGTGCTGCAGAATAAAGAGGGTTAAATAGAGCTAGACAACGAGAATAGTATTGATTTCAGAAGAAAGTGAGTACTTGAGAGTGGGAGGCAACATGTGCTCATAGTATGTATACCGAAAAACCACAGAGGATAAAAATGTAGCTTAGTAACATAGAATTACAAATACAAAAACACCCCCACACTCACTGTGTTCTTACTGAATTGAAATTTGACATTACTGAGCTTTTTGTTCAGTGTATCTCCTTCCTAGACTTCCTAGACTGTGAAGCAGTCACATTCACCTGTATATGAAAGATGTGGTGAGGCATTTTTTTCCAAGCAGACGGCATTGCTGCTCATTTGCATCTAAAAGAGACAGAAAGTGTCTGCAGCCTTTTCTGCAATGAGATCTGAAGGATAGTTTCTCACTGTGATCCAAGCACAGTTCTTCCATTTGCTTCCCTTGTGCCCTTGTAGTGGTTTTCCATTCCAGCCTTCCCCCAGGATTTGCATCAGTATCATTTTGTATGCATCACAACTGAAAAACGTCATCACTGTTAAATATAGCATCTAACTGATCCGACCCTCATGTCACATTTGGCATGTTTGGTCCTTTCGGATGTACGACGATTCTTTTTAATCTCAACAGATCTTTCCAGAATTCTCGGACTAGTGAGTCACTCCGCACCAGCTTCCCTGCTTCCTCTCAGCCTCTTGCCTTCTGCTGCCACTGTCGTATTCTATTTTAATACAGCGGAACATTTCTTAAAGTGATTACACTACATTAGCGACATCCTTTGTAGTGCTCATGAATAAGCAGGGAATTTTGTGGCTCATGTTTAAGCCTTAAGCCAACATATAAACAGTTGGTGATTGTGTATATTCTTTATTGTGCTCAAACAATTTTAATCCTGTTGCAATCATTTGCATTGTAATTTTGAGCAATTTGCTCTTTGGGTTCGAGATTTTATGCACAGTGAGGAAGTGAAGCAGTTGATGGAACTGTGCACAAAAGATAATTCATTTTTTGCCAGATAACTTAGAATTTAAATGACAGTTTGGTTTAAAACCATGTTGGTTTCCATTACCTGACCATTTTACCTGTCATAGTTCCAGTCTTCTATTTACCACAAACACATGCACTGCTCCCCTATTTTACAGTGAGCTCACCTAGTAGCTATCCAGGTTGAGTGGGTGCAGTATTTTTCTTACTGCTGTGGTACACAGTGTTGCAAAGTGATGACCAAGTCATTTAAAGGCACCTGAAGTGAGACTTCAGCAGTCAAACAAACATTTTCATGACATTGTCATGTACAGGTGCTGTGGCAGGCAGGAAGACGGCCCAAACACAAAGGGTTAAACTGAAGGAGGCAGCTTTACTGCACTTTAGCAAGATTACTAAATACAAAAGTTAGAAACAAGAAACCAGGACCACACAAAACACAACAATGTGGGATGATGTGACAATGGCAAAGGAAAACACAGGGCTTAAATACAGAAAGCATAACAAGGGAATTAGACACTGGAGGGAAACACAGCTGGGACTAATCTGACAAAATGAGACAGGGAGGAAGCAAAAGGGAATACACTAAACACAGGACGCGGGACTGTCAAAGGAAAACAGGAAACACAGATATGGAGACGAGGAGAAGGACATGCAAGCTTAATGCTTCAAACAGACATGGGGACATAACTGACTGGGGAAAGTGTTTTGGGAAGTTTTATTTGCCAAATTTTAAAATTAAAACAAAATGTGTTTGATGAGACAAAAACAAATTCCTCAGCATTTGAAAAAATGCATTCAAAGAACTAAAAACCATAAAAAAACAAAAGCAATGTGAGTTTAAAAAATATGATAAAAAAATAAAGAGAGTGGTCAAGTTAAAAGAAGTCACGAATAAATAAACATTGTGTGCAGTATGAAATGTCTGTGAAGGTTCTCAGTCATTCAGGTCATCGTAGTCTAAGGAGCTTGGAAAGAAAAACGTCTGGACTTCTTTAAGTTTCTTGAAGACGTTTCACCTCTCACCCGACAAGCTTCTTCAGTTCTAGGGTCAAATGGTGGAGAGTCCCATATTTAAGCCCTATGGGAGTGTCCCCCCAAGGACAATGAACCCCCCAGTGATCCTTTACTTAATCACACAAGCCAAGATGTGAAAAAGGGTGTAGGTCACAATCAGCCAAGGTTTCGGTTGAGCTCATTGTGAAACCTAGTCCCACCCTATCATGTGAGGAGTTCTCGGAAATAGGTGTGACAGAAGACAGAAGTTGACTAACTCTACCTGTTACACAGAAAAACACCACATGAGAAAACACTGTTGCTGAAAGAAGGTCTTCCTGTTGGCCCTCAGCTTCTTATTTTACACACTCAGATTCTCTGCTGGCGTCATCAAGTGTGATATGGAGAAAAAAACACTAAAAAAGTGTTACAAAAAACAAAGCAATGGACTGAAAGAGCAAAATGAATACATTCCATTAGTACGCAAATTTGAACCAGATGACAATCTAGTAGTGCAGCAAATTTTTTATGAAGGGCTGATGGAGATGGTGCCAGACACTGCCTTCAGAGGATTAAGTCATCAATCTGAGAGTCTCTGGCTTTATGCTGCTATGACAGGTAAGATCACCCATCTAATGTCTGAAACAAACAATCTTTTAAGGTAAATTGTTCTCTATTTTTCTGTTTTTGTAATTTGAAAATTTTGTAAGATTCTAACTCCAGATATACCAAGAACCTCCGTGCCTGAACAAAGACCAACCACCTGTTCTGTAAAAGCTACTTGTCTGCTACTAAAACCTTTTGTTCTTTTAGTTCTACTAGAATCAGTTTTAATGTCCGAATGTCTGAATGAATTGAAATTTGTGCTTTTTGTGTTGTTCTTTATGAACTTTATAATTCATTTACATTTAAGCATCACGGTATATCTTTCCTCTGGCAGTTATATCTCTTGTCATCACCAAATGTTGGTGGGTGATAGGAGTCCTCCCAGCAAGTGTGATGTGTTTGCGCTACTTCTGCAGCAGACGTGTCATCCATGGTTACCTCAGGCGAGCTATGAACACAGACATGGGGAACATTGAGAAGTTCTACATGAAGCCACAAGGTACATAACATTCACGCGGAAACCAGAAACTGCCACGTTTTGTTTTGCCATAATACAAAAGACTTTTCGCAGTTTCTGTTTGTAATGCATGGTCCCTTGCTTGAAGTGTTTTGAAACACACATTTAGAAATATTACTGATACAATTTTGGTGTTACTTACATCCACATAGTTGACCTCCTGTCCCGGAAAACACAAAATCAAAGTTGTTGCTCATCATTTCCTTTTATCAGTGGTGCCATGTTTTTTTTTGTTTTGTTTTTTTCTTTTTCTGACTGTTCTGCATTGCAAAACTTTGATGTCAAACTCATGACTGCAGAGTCATCAGCTTGTAAAATTTTCAGATTCGAATAGTGCTGAAGGGTTACTCTGTTCATTCAAATGAGCCACCAAAGGCTATTGCCCAAATGTCTTTACTGCATGCGGTAAGTGAAAACCACAAACCACTGTCTATGGCAACTTTCAACATCACTTATCTTTCAAAATGAACATTACTTATTAGGAAGAATGCTTAGATTGTGCAAGCAGTTCATTTTACTTGGATCAGTGGTTCCCAACCTTTTTTTTACTAGTCCCCCCTTTGTTTTACAAGGAAATCTTCGCGCCCCCCCCCCCCCAAGGCACAGTACAAACACATCCTCCAACCACATACACCCATATTTTAATGTCAAACTCCACTGCAGTTTATTTCCCACCTCAAACTTTTTGTAAACAATTACACAAATAAAGGTAAACTGCAATAATTTACAGGTAGCAATAAAATAAACTATTAACTCTTTTACACTTTGTCTACACCTTTTTTTTGAAAATGCAGATTATTTTATGCGTTCGTGCCTTTTGTCCACATGTATATGACGTTTCAGATCACTGAAAACAGATTTTTAAAAACTGTCAGGGTAGAGATTTTCAAAAAGTCAGTTTTTACGTTTATGTGTGGATGAGGAAAAAGTTGATTTAGTCACGGAATGTCAAAGGTGTGCACCTTTTTTGACTTCATGCTGTGCACCACGTTATTGTTTATGTGAGATGGATTTCTACAATGGCAGATATAGACAAAATACTGTTGCTGTTTATCTTACTAGCTGCAGTTTTTTACACGCTTACATATACCCACGCAGTTCTTGTTCCTCCATTCAGAAAGACAGATGCGTCAGAGTTAAGTTCGGACGTGGCTTCTACATTCAACACTCACACAAACATATCCTGATGCCAACATCATCATCGGTTTTGAAAAAATGTAATTTTTTAAAATTACATTTATGTGATGTACGTGTGGACGTAGCCTTCAAGAACAGAAAAACAAACCATCTTTATGTTGTAATTATTTTACATGTCGACTCAGGGGAAACAAATTCTGCTGGGGATACTTTGCACCACCATTGTGCAGGTGAAGCCAAAGGCAAGATATGCTTCATCATATTTTCTAGTGTTTGGCTCAGAAAGAAGTTGGTTTGGAAGCATATTTAGTGATCCTTCATCATCTGTTTTTTGTTTGTATGGGACCGCCGTCAAAACCATGTCCATTATGCTAGCAGTGTTTAAACGTTCTTTTTTTTTATTATTCATATCTTAGAAACCTTGAAACCTTAGCGATGGCAGTGCAATCAGGTTCTGAAGTATTACAACCAGTTTGTCTGGTACTGCATTCTCTGCTCCATTTTAATGTTCACTTTAAATTTCAGGATGTTGCTTTGCACTGCACTGAGTTGCTCCTGTGTAATTGGCTGATTATGATATTTGTGTTAATATGCAGTTGAATGTATACACAACTATTTTTCTCTTAACTTCTGAGAGAGCCCTTTTAACCTTCATGTGGTCAGCATTCAATATTATGCCAAAATGTTGTTTTTTCCAATATTTGAAGCAATAGGCTGAGTTCTGTTTATTGTCTGCTTGCCCCAGGCTCCTGTTTTTGGGTAGCAGTGCTAGAAGGCAAAGTGGTGGGCACTGTAGCTGCAGTTGGCCAGCAAAAGGAATCAGGAGGTGCTGTTGTCCTGCAGAGAATGTCTGTTGACCAAAGATATCGGAAATGTGGGGTTGGTGTTGTGCTGGGAAGGAAAGTTCTGGAGTTTGCTGCTCATTATGGATATTCTTCAGTTATCCTTGGGACCACAGCATATGCACCGGCAGCGCACCGCCTCTACCAGCGCCTGGGTTTCTGCTGTGTGGGGGTCACCAACAGGTATGCCACACCAGGAGGACGACAGTCTACTTGAACAAATTTTCTACAGAGTACTCCACCATCACTATAGAATTGATGTACAAAACATCTCTCTCAAATGGACACCAACTACAGTGAGTGCGCAGGTGACTAAAAATGAAGGGAATTTTTGAGACTGATAGGTCTGTTAACTTGCATAGTCACCATATTTGCCGGCTTTCCAAATAGGCTAAACTTTAATAATATAGTAAATCTTTTCTGGTCTTATTGACGAAGGTAAAGTGCAAACATTCACACAGCAAACTACTGTACACAGTTTTTCCTCCCACACACATACTTGACTAATTTGTCTACAGCAGCTGTGTTGTTTTTAGTCTATATTTAATCTCTACATATTTTTTTCTAATATTATAGTTTTACTTTTGGAAAATCAGCTGCTCTGCTGCCAGTGAACTTATTCATAGTTGTGACTGGTCAGGCGCTGGCAATGCCACCCCTTTCATGTGAATATGCTTGTAGCTAGCTTGGAAAAATGCTGGGCTTTATTAATGAGTTGATGACCAGCTTCATCTTGCCACTTAGCCTGATTGATAACAGAACAATGCCCTGAGTATTGTAAACTAATTTTGTAGTGCAGGGCCCAAAAAGTAAAAGTAAAAAGAGATAAAAAGAAAATTAATTTCCAAAAAAAGAGAGAAATAATGAAGAAAAATCCATGAAGACAGAATGAGACAGAATGAACACAGACAGGAAAACTAAAGATATAACTGAAATAAAAAAACTTAACACAAAAAACTCAAAGTTGTAAAAGAATAACAATGACCACCGGACCCAAAATTCAACATAATAAGAACCCAAAACTCAGAAACATAAACAAACCTGAGACTGTAACAGACACACTTTTATCAGAGAGCCGTTCTCATTTCACTTCATTTTTATGGTTCTCCTTTTGTTGCTTTTCTCTCTACTTTCTACTTCATGCGTTAAACTGTGTTATTTTTTTTAACTGTACTGGATTTTGTGATGGACCAATTTGTGCCTTGTTGTAAAGAACTCAGTAAAGATTATTATTATTGTCATAGTGTTTACTGACTTAGTACTATATGGGTGCTGTTACCTCCCCATGTTTTTGTTGTTGCTTATTTGTCTGTTGTCAGGGTAACATCAAAAAACAGCTTTCCTGAAACTGTAAGGTCTTATTGTCATGGAGAAAAAAAAGAAGCTATTATAATCTGGTGCAGACCGAATGACAGTATGGTGAGGTTAAAGGACAGAGTTTAGGGGTGTGTAATAATGTGAGTGTTTATGGAATCCAAATGAGCTTTTATTGATTTGATACTGGCTGCTGGATAACAAGTAAACATAGTTTGATGTGTATCTGGCTATAGTTATTTATTGGTTTGAAATTCATTATATTTTATTTGTACATTTATCACAATATGTGTGTAAATGTAACGGTATCGCAGCACTCCAATTCAAACCACACTCTTTGTGCATACTCTGTGGGTTGGCCATGTTCTATTATACTTTGTGGGATTGTAACTGATTTATAACATGTGCTTGGCTGAGATAATAAAAGGGTGTATCTGTCAAACCCACACTTTCTGCACTCTTGCTTTTCTCACTTTTTTTTTTTTTATCACTTCACTTGCTCAGCAGAAACTCGTTGCCCTACAGTAAAGTTAGATGAACTGGAGAACAGCAGGGTCCACCTAAAGGCAAAGGCTGTAGTATCACTTCTTCATGAACAGTCAAAGATGGGAACAATAGCTAGAGAACCACTGAGCATAAAATGATTAAAATCAGTAATTTTATTTTGAAAGATGTATAATTTTTGGTTTCACATTGTACTGCAAATCGAGCTGACCTAAGAAAAGGATAAACAATAATCATACACAACACAGCTTTTCAGCAGTAGGTATTATTCATAGCATCACACAGGTATCTAACAGTTAATCTGTTATCTCAGTAAAATGCAGCTCTATGGCATTTTCCTTTCTTCTCTTGACAATTTTATATTACAACTCAGTATTCAGCACACAGTATGGTGGTAAAATAGCCCTGCTGCCTTAGAGCAACATGGTTCTGGGTTTGAACCTCATAGTTATGTGGAGCCTATGTGTTCTCTGCCTTCCTTTCATATGTAATACTATACACACATTTTGGACCTCGTCTCTCAACCTGCAACTTGTGGGATCGCCTCCAGTGGCCCCACAACCCCACATAGAAAAGTGGTTAAGAGAATGAATCGACAATGTAGAAGTTGGCACGTATTTAGCCTACTTATTTTTTTTTCTACAAAGAGATCTTGGAATAAAACTTGAACAACATATCTGACTTAGACTTTTTGCATAATATCTTCACATTGAAACTTCAATCTCAGCATTTTTAAGTTTTTGTGAAATCTACGGTTCCGCATATCTATTTATAAGAGCAGGCGGTTCATGTTGCGAAATTCCTACTCAGACAGCCAGGATCAAAACTTTTCTATGGTGGAAAATATTTGGAGAGTTTATTGGTGGGTATTAAATTAGAAACACTATAATATTAAGTTTATCATAATTGCCTTGTGTTCTGTGCAATGCACTGTTAAAATTCATCACATATGTTTAGATTATCTTTTGATTTCCCATCATTTCTAGCTGACTCACTCAGGAAAGAGGTATGCTCTTGCTCCACCTCCTAAAATACCCCCAAAGTTTGCCCTATAAGCAAAAAAAAGGAAGTAGATTAGATTTTAAACTCTTCAAACTGAAAAAGCTCATCATTCGATTTCCAGCTCGTCCATTGATTTTGTTTGATCTGCAAGGGGAGGTAAGGATTATTTCAATTATATTTTGCATTCATTAAAGTTTAGGCATATATACATATTTGATTATCTATCATTAACCTTATATTATTTTAAAAGCAATCAACAGCTCAGTGTAAATAGTTTGAAAGGGAGGGGATTTATTATAGTGAAAACTATTTCACATAAAACATTTTTGATTTCACAGATTGGACTCCAGCTTTTAAGGCAGATGCAAGGATGAGTGTCGAGTACCATGCATCCACACGTGGCATCGATGACAGTAAAATTGCCTACAAGCAGTTTTTTGAAGAAGGCAGCAAATTTCACTCTGCAGGTAATGAACCTTGATTTTAAATTTCCTGTCTTTTTTTTTAAAGGAAATCACAAATACATAACATTGCTCTGCTCCCAACTTTTATGCTTGGCTCCGATGGAAAATTTAAATCTACAGTGGAGCAAAAAAGTATTTAGTCAGCCACCAATTGTGCAAGTTCCCCCACCTAAAATGATGACAGAGGTCAGTAATTTGCACCAGAGGTACACTTCAACTGTGAGAGACAGAATGTGAAAAAAAAATCCATGAATCCACATGGTAGGATTTGTAAAGAATTTATTCGTAAATCAGGGTGGAAAATAAGTATTTGGTCAATAACAAAAATACAACTCAATACTTTGTAACATAACCTTTGTTGGCAATAACAGAGGTCAAATGTTTACTATAGGTCTTTACCAGGTTTGCACACACAGTAGCTGGTATTTTGGCCCATTCCTCCATGCAGATCTTCTCGAGAGCAGTGATGTTTTGGGGCTGTCGCTGAGCAACACGGACTTTCAACTCCTGCCACAGATTTTCTATGGGGTTGGGGTCTGGAGACTGGCTAGGCCACTCCAGGACTTTCAAATGCTTCTTACGGAGCCACTCCTTTGTTGCCCGGGCGGTGTGTTTTGGATCATTGTCATGTTGGAAGACCCAGCCTCGTTTCATCTTCAAAGTTCTCACTGATGGAAGGAGGTTTTGGCTCAAAATCTCACGATACATGGCCCCATTCATTCTGTCCTTAACACGGATCAGTCGTCCTGTCCCCTTGGCAGAAAAACAGCCCCATAGCATGATGTTTCCACCCCCATGCTTCACAGTAGGTATGGTGTTCTTGGGATGCAACTCAGTATTCTTCTTCCTCCAAACATGACGAGTTGAGTTTATACCAAAAAGTTCTACTTTGGTTTCATCTGACCACATGACATTCTCCCAATCCTCTGCTGTATCATCCATGTGCTCTCTGGCAAACTTCAGACGGGCCTGGACATGCACTGGCTTCAGCAGCGGAACACGTCTGGCACTGCGGGATTTGATTCCCTGCCGTTGTAGTGTGTTACTGATGGTGACCTTTGTTACTTTGGTCCCAGCTCTCTGCAGGTCATTCACCAGGTCCCCCCGTGTGGTTCTGGGATCTTTGCTCACCGTTCTCATGATCATTTTGACCCCACGGGATGAGATCTTGCGTGGAGCCCCAGATCGAGGGAGATTATCAGTGGTCTTGTATGTCTTCCATTTTCTGATGATTGCTCCCACAGTTGATTTTTTCACACCAAGCTGCTTGCCTATTGTAGATTCACTCTTCCCAGTCTGGTGCAGGTCTACAAAACTTTTCCTGGTGTCCTTCGAAAGCTGTTTGGTCTTGGCCATGGCGGAGTTTGGAGTCTGACTGTTTGAGGCTGTGGACAGGTGTCTTTTATACAGATGATGAGTTCAAACAGGTGCCATTCATACAGGTAACGAGTGGGGGACAGAAAAGCTTCTTACAGAAGACGTTACAGGTCTGTGAGAGCCAGAGATTTTCCTTGTTTGAGGTGACCAAATACTTATTTTCCACCCTAATTTACGAATAAATTCTTTACAAATCCTACCATGTGGATTCATGGATTTTTTTTTCACATTCTGTCTCTCACAGTTGAAGTGTACCTCTGGTGCAAATTACTGACCTCTGTCATCATTTTAAGTGGGGGAACTTGCACAATTGGTGGCTGACTAAATACTTTTTTGCCCCACTGTACATGGAGCAATGGGGAAATGGTAACCTTCCTGTGGCTGAAGGTGTGCTTTTTTGGTAACGATAGTGCTAAGCAGTAGTTTTATAGAAAATCAACCATTTGTCTTGTACCTGCACAACATCACTCTTTATTATTTGCACAAGGAACTGGCGGAACCAAAATGCACCTAGATGAATATTTAACTTAAATATGTCCTTTTATCAAAAATAACAGCATTATATGACCACAAAAAGCTTCATGTGAATATATTGTATTTAAAGTCAAACAGAACACTTTTGAGGCTGCAGCGAACGTAGTATTATTTATTCCATTAACAGTCATTGTATAAAGAACATGTAGTTGAAGTTGCTTTATTAAAAATATTTGAATTAGGTACATTTTGAAAGAGGAATTAACCATTTTTATGCAAGATGAATGTTTTTTAAAGTGTAATTTTGCAATACCACCCTCTAAAACCACAACTTCCTTAGCATGCTTCACCAACTTATAGTTTCTCCTTCTCCTTTGCCAACCGTCATTCAGTTTATATAGTAAGAACCAGTCCTTTCAAGCTTGCCACAGTGTGCCTGGGGTTCCTGTGTTTACTCCTTTTGGCTGGTGTCATAGGTCAAAGCATCCACTGTGAGTCTACCTTTTTGTTCTGTCTGTTAAGTATTAACATTTCCTTATATCAAGGTGAAATAAATTGATTGTCCTCAACTCTGTCATGACTCCTCTCCAACAGATCAAAATGTGGAACGAGACTATGAGAATAGCTCAAAAGCCATGACTATGCAGAATCAGGACCTGCAGCAAAACATAAAAGCTGTGCAAAAAGAGAAACAGGATACGATGATACGCTATGATCGCTTACAGGAAAATTACAACTCCTTATCTACAGGCAAAAAACGGTTGCAGACCAATTACAATTTACTGATGGAGGAAAAACAGCAGCTTACACAAAGCCAAGCCCAGTTAAAGGACAGTAATGCTGCTTTGAACCAAAATTTCGAAAAGCTAGAAACTCTTAAAAACCAGCTGCAGTTGAACAATGATGCCTTGACTACAGGCAAAGAGTTGCTACAAAAACAATATGATTCAGTCCTCAAGCAAAGAAATGACTTGCAGACCAGTTTTAACTCTGTGACCAAAGAGAGGAACAACTTACAGAACAAATTCAACAATGTAACCGGATCAAGAGAGCAGCTGCTGAATCGTTACAACGACTTGATTAAGACAGTGGAAAATCTGCAAGATAGCTACAACTTCTCTACAACTGAGAAGGACAAGTTAGCAAAAGGTCACCAAAATCTGACTGTACAACTTGAGCATCTTCAGTCTACCTACAATGTAATCAAAAAAGCAGAAAATGTACTGCAGGCTAATTATGACTCATTGGTTAAGGAAAAAAACGCTCTTCAAAGCAATTTTCAGAATGTAACATCAGAAAGAGACCTGCTGAAGGTGAATAATGAAAACCTGACTGCTGAGAGAGTAAAGCTGTTGGAGGAAATTAACAGACTGAATGCAACAATGCAAGGTAAGCAAAAAGAAAACAGCTATCAAACATCTCTTTACTTTTGCCCCAGTGTTTGGTTATTAATCAACAAAAAAATGTAAATTACAGAGAAGAAATGCCCCACTGGCTGGAAGAAGTTTGAATACAGCTGCTACTTCACTTCAGTTAGCAAAAAAACGTGGGAAAGGAGCAGAGCTGACTGCCAGAACAGAGGAGCAGACCTGGCAATAATAAAAAGCAAAGAAGAAATGGTTTGTTTACATTTGTCTTCTCTCCATATATAGTATTTGAGGTCATTTTCTTTTCTTAAAGTTGAACTCATTTTTTTCCTCCCCATTTTCACCAGTACATCAACTGCTATGAATTTCAGCTCCTGAAAGTTTTTTTATTAAGTCATTTTTTTTCATAAAACTAACACAATAACATAATCATAATGACATAAATGACATACTCGTAAAAATGTTACCTTAAAAAACAGAAAGCTTTGCTAATACAGATATTAATAACAATATTCAAAGTCTACTAGCTCACTCTTTCATCACCAATGCTTATTAGTTTTTTCTCTCCTATGTATTACCAACAGGTCACTAACTTTGAAGATGTTATTATCCATTCTTCGTATAAAACTACTGATTGGTGCTGTCTGATCTGCAATCTTCCCATTTATGAAACCAGCTTCCAGTTTTGATTCAGGGGACAGACACTATCTCTACTTTTAAGATTAGCCTTAAAACTTTCCTTTTTGCTAAAGCATCTAGATAGGGCTGGACCAGGTGACCCTGAATCCTCCCTATGCTGCAATAGGTGTAGGCTGCTGGGGGATTCCCGTCATGCATTGAGTATTTCTTCTTCAATTCAGTTCAATTCAAAATGCATTTGTATAGCAGATTTAAAAACAACAGAGTTGACCAAAGTGCTTCACAATCGGTTAAAAACAAGAGAAAACAATAGGGAGACAAATATAGATAAATTAAAAACAAATACAGATAATCTTCAGTTACCTTTCTCACTATGTGTTAATAAACCTCTCTGCACTGAATCATACTTGTTATTAATGTCTGGCTCTCTTCAACGGTATGTCTTTTATCCCATCTTCCTTCCCCCACCTCAACTGGTCGTGGTAGAAAGCTGCCCCTCCCTGTTAAAAGGGAGCTTTTCCTTCCCAATCTTGCCGGGGTGCTGGATCATAGGGGGTCATATGATTGTTTGGTTTTTCTCTGTATGTATTATTGTAGGGTATACCTTACAATATAAAGCGCCTTGTTTGTTTTGATTTGGTGCTGTATAAATAAAATTGAATTAAATTGATCCTTTTGTATGACAAACATTTGCTGTAACTTGCATGTCTCGTTCTAGACCTTCATCAATGGCTTGTATAGCAGTGACAAAGAAGTCTGGATTGGACTGACTGATGAAGGAGCAGAGGGAAAGTGGAAATGGGTGGATGGAACTCCAGTGACCTTAACGTAGGAAATTTAATATATATCTTTTGTTTTTTGTTGTTTTTTGTAAAGTTCTGCTTATCCAAGGACATTTTTATTCTGACTTTGATATTTCCCCATCTCTTGTAGGTTTTGGGGTAAAGGCCAGCCCAACAGCTATAATGGGAGAAACCAAGACTGTGTGGAGTTTTGGCACCGCGCATCAGGCGTCGGTGATTGGAATGATGAGAACTGTAATATTGAACAAAACTGGATCTGTGAGATGTATACATCTCACAGACTATAACTATAGTTTTCCAGAACTTTGGAATGCGTTAGGTGATACTGTCTGGTACCAATGAACATCATGTAATGTAAGCATAGAAACACATTAAGGATTATAATAGTATGTTTTACAACTCACCAATTTATCCAAATGTTATTTGCTGAAGCAAATACAGATTGATGTAGCTTGTTGAATGAGTGACCCAAAAGCAACTCCAAAAATATCTGCGTATACTGTTTATCATCTTATTCCTGACTCTGATGGTGACACAGTATCTGTCACTTGCCAACAGATATTTTTGAAGGTACAATTAATTTGACACATGTAACTTACCCATATGCCAGTTTGCATGAAATTAATTTACTATCATGACCATTTAGTACATTGATTAACGAAAGCCTTTACAAAGCCTCGTACTGTTATAATCAGTTATGTTATTATCACTTAATTATGCTGTACTTGCTTATCAGTGATTTGTTGTAACTAGGAAAATGGTACCAAATTAAATGCTGTGTAATTATGGATACATTAATTAACCACCATTCAGTTCTTCACTCTCATTATTACAATAAAATAAAAGAAATAAAATTTTTATCTTGCTCTTTCATTTAGATATTAATCCAAGCAAATTAAATAACACAGCCTGCACTACTTTTTACAGAAATTATATTCAAAGACTTGTTATGACCTTGTAGTTTTTGACATGTGTTTTTACATACAACTGCCTGTTTCATATGTTACACTGTGTTTAAGCAAGAGTATTGTCAAGGGTGACATGTGCTGAAACCTCTGTTCTCACAGTGGTTTCCTGTTTCACCAATGTAGTGGAATTTACAGAATCACAGCTATAAACATTAGGGTAGGATAAGAGTCAGTTTCAGGAATGAATGTGTTAAAGTAGGGAAAAAAGGGAAGCAGTGGTTTGACAGCTCAGACTGTTTCAGTGTTTAACAATAACAGTCCACTAGAGGGAGGTACAGCCAACACAGCTTCCCGTCAGCTTTGTCTGCTTTATATTTTTCATTCTGAAAACTTTTAGTAGAATTTTGCAACCACATTAGCCCATGTTGGTTCAAGTACCTTCTCCCTCTTTTTCTCCCCATGTCAACAGTCCTTTCTGGCACTAGTGAATGCTAATACATGTGCTCCACAAAATTTTTGTTCTTTGAGCCCATCAGAGGATACGCTTCTACATCACTAAGAAATAAAATGTTGTTACAAGAGGATGGGTCTGTTACATTTCTGCCTGAATTTCTTCTACCATTTGGCCTTGCAGTCCCACACAAGAGATCCTACTCATTTCTCTCCAGGCTACTCCAGGCAGGAGTTTGCTCTCAGTCTTCTATATAGTATAGATATAGCTTATCTTTACTCTTTAACTACTTTTAAAAGTGATTTAATGGTTTATCCACCTATCCGTTCTCTGCTTATCTTTATCAGGATCAGTTTACTTGTCACAGAGTGACACCTAGTTTTCTGGAACTCTTAAAGGAGCATTTTAAAGTTTGACCAAATAAATTCTCAACCTGCTGCTTTGATTTGGTCTATTTTGAATCTGCTAGTTTTACAGCTGAGTTCAGTTACAGTCTCTGTAAATGTTCAGTTCAATTTAGGCCAAATCACAACAACAGTTGCCTCAAAGGACATTACACTGCAAGGTAAATACCCAACAATATCCTGGAGAAAACCCCAACAATCACACTTAAACTCACACTTACACAGCCTCACCAACATAACTGTTGCTTTTCCCACTATCTTGTCAGTTGGCATTTATTCACAGGTGTTTTTACATCCTACATGTGGCTGTGCTTCTCAACAGTTGAGCTCCATCTGTTCTGTGACTAAATTTCTGACAATTATTCTGGGGTTGACAGGCAGGCTGTCTGTGTAACAGCATATCTATCTATGCATGTCATGCTACAGTTAAAATACCAAAAAATTGCAGAGTGTAGTTATAATTTTAACAATGTAAATTTATATAAAATTGTGACATGTGCATGACTTCTTTGGTTGTTATTTTCCTAAAAAGTGTTCTCTTGACATATCCCATGTTGGTCCGGATGCTTGTCCAACATGGGTTTGAAGGACCCCATTAGGATTTTCTGTTATGCACAGTGAAAGTGTGAGAGACACACACAGTCTCTCTATGTGTGTCTGTTTCATCCATCTGTCTGTCTATCTCTACTTCTCCACCTACTCGTACAAGTAGGTGGTGAGTTCTTAGTTTGGCCATGCTGCTGTGTGGGAGCAGCTCTGTGTAGACTGACACCAACCCTCCCAGAGCTCCAATACAAAGTCTCCACCTCACATTCATTTACTGCACTTGTTTATAATATCAAACACATAATATCATTGGTATTCTGGGTTATAACCTCTGTAATACACCCGGAAAGCCTCATTGCAATATCTTTTAAGTGTAAGTACCTGTCATGTTTGTATATAAACCTGGAAATAATCAAACAGTTTGAGGATTTAGACACATTTTCAAATGTAGAATAAAGGAGATATGCAGTGTTTCACATCCAGCAAACTATAGGTTTGATTTACTTGACTTCTGTTCCTTTAGTAAAACTCAGGTGATACTCGGGTAGATTTGATCATAATATTGAAGCTTGTCCAAATAAAAAAACTTGCAGCCAGCTATTACAAATACATCTTCCCTTCAAGTTTCCAGAACACTGATTACTATGAAACACTGGGACAGTGGGAAACACTGACACTGAGTTAAAGTGTCAAACTCAAAGTGCTATATAAAGACAAGAGGCTCTTTCACAGTGTCAAGTCATGGCTATGCTAAAGGTTGCTAACAAGGCTGCACATGGACCTCTAAACAATCTGTGGAAACTGAATTAGGGTGCACATAAAGCACAGTCAGACTGACCAAAAGTGACCACACATTCAGAAGGGCAACACATCAGGCTTTGCTTACTGAGCTAAAAGCAACATCAGTCACAATATAGCTCTGTGGAGTGTGCATTAATGGACCCATAATGCAGGAGGCAGGAAAATTCAAACAAAATGTAAGGTTTTTAATAGGGAATAAGAGCGATAGGGCGATCGTGGCTCAAGAGTTGGCAGTTCATCTTGTTGAAGGTTGCCGGTTCGAGCTCTGGCTCCAACAGTCTCGGTCGTTGTGTCCCTGGGCAAGACACTTCACCCGTTGGTGGTGGTCAGAGGGCCCAGTGGCGCCAGTGTCCGTCGGCCTCGCCTCTGTCAGTGCGCCCCAGGGTGGCTGTGGATACAATGTAGCTTGCCATCATCAGTGTGTGTGTGAATGCGTGGATGACTGAATGTGTAAAGTGCTTTGGGGTCCTTAGGGACCAAGTAAAGCGCTATACAAATACAGGCCATTTACCATTTTACCATTTACATTAATTAAATAAAAAAGGCGCAAAGCACTTGGTTAGCACTATTGCCTCACAGCAAGATTGTTCTGAGTTCAATTCCACCATCAGGCCGGGGTCTTTCTGTCTCTGTGGACTTTGCATGTTCCCCCTGTGTTTGTGTGGGTTCTCTCTGGGTGCTCCAGCTTCCTTCCACTGTCCAAAGACATGCAGTTAATGGGGATAGGTTAACTGGAAACTCTAAATCGGCCATAGGTGTGAATGCAGGTGTGAATGGTTGTCTGTGTCTATGTGTTAGCCCTGTGACACACTGGTGACCTGCCCAGGGTGTACCCTGCCTATCGCTCCAGCCCAGCTCTGGGGCTGCTTTGCTGCCTCAGGACTCGCTATGGTAAAGGGAACCAATGTCCGGCCATTTGTTCATGACCACAAGCTAAAGTGCACTTGGGTTTTGCAGCAGGACAATAACAGTAATTGTATACAGTATACAGTTATCACTAACTAGCACATACACCAAATCAGAATCAGAATCAGAGAGACTTTATTTTTTCCCCAAGGCGCAATTAAGAAGGTGGCTAGAACTAGGGATGGGAGCTCGAAACAGACGTTACGGTACTGTGTCGAGCTTCCGTTTCGAACAACGAAGTTTCGATGTTTCGAAACGCTGCTCTACAGCGCTGTTCAAAACACCCAGGTCACGTGACCATGATTAAACAAGGTTTTGTTGTGACTCCTGCAGTTTCAGCAGGTGGCGTATCTGCTGGTTCTAGTTATTGCCAGATGCAATGATTCACTTTTTTTTTTTTATCAGCGAGAGTGATTTGGATGGGTAACTACTGAATTAATGTTTTCGATACTACTATATCTATTCATTACATATGCATGTGCAAAAGAAAAGAATGCCCTCGCTCTCATTATTATTTTCACTGTGGATTATGAAGCATAATATCCAATTATTATATATAATAATATATTATAAGATATTATATTATTACTATCCAATTATTTAAACGCTGAAATCAAGAGTGTAATTAAATGAATATCATATATAGATATATAAATAATATGTAAATATAGTATTCAAATGATTGAATGACTGTCACATAGATGAAAGAAACAGAGATTGGTGGGTGAGCTTCATTCACTCATATCAGCAGAGAGAGAGAGCAGCATGCTGAGCTGTAGATTAAAATATCTCAATAAAAAGCTCCTCTCTACATTCAATGAGAAAATATAACGGGAGGAGTTTTTAGCTCTGACTCCTTCTGGTCTCTAGTTTTTTCTGCTTTCAACAAAAAACTGTTATATGACGTCATTCTCACTATAACCTGTTACTCACATTAGGTGTTGCCATAAAGAATAAATTTATACTGTAAAAAGAAATGTCAGAGAAAAATATACATGAATTACAGGCGAACAAGTATCATGTCAAATAACTTTTTTCCCCTCCTGTTTTATTCACCCTGACACCTATGGTGCGAAAATCTCGTAAACAGGAGGCTTGCAGGTTCATGCCAGTGTTACAAGATACAGCATCCACAGCAGGGTAAAGTTAATGAAAGTTTCGTCATGGTTCAAAGGTCGCTCAGCAGAGGATGATTTAAAAATGTACTGGTGAACGTGACATGGACTGTTATGATTGGTCAGAATTGGCATGTGAAAATATAATAAATATCACCCTTTTTATAAGAAAAGGGACACACATTTAATCTTTTTCATTAAATATATATATTTAAATTAATTAGAATTAAAACCTAAAGCTTCTAGCGTTATCGGTCAATATTTTTCTCACCTTTTTTTGTGCGAAGATTTCTCCAAATCATGTTTTTAACATCATTATTGACAGTCTGGTGTAATAAGTAGTTTTGTTTGGAACTGTGCAGGACATGTCTGCATCACTGTTAACACAGCTTTATCAAGATCTGACGATATCAAGACCTAGCTGGCAAGTGTCACTGTGGAGATGAGCTTCAGATTGTTTCGAAACCTTGATACAATTCACACACACAAATGCCTCGAATATTTCAGTGCCTTGCTTTGCCCATCACTAGCTAGAAACAATATGGATCAAAGTGGAGTGTGAAGCATTTTATACATGGAACATGAGCTCAGGTTTATGTGATGGACACCAGTCATAACAACCCCAAGATGGGCTATTCCCTTCAGTTCCCAGCAACCCTCTCCTATAGCCTCAGCCCAGGAGCAAAGTCAGGCCAACGAGGTCAGGAGCCACTCCCATGACTGCACAAAGGCTGCTGGATACTATAGTCCATTACTAAATAAAGCCTCCTGGGTAATGTAGTTCATACTAACAGGGACTTGATGAATGTAAATACATTCAGAAATTCAGTTTTTCGACTCATTGTCTTGAGCTGTCAAAAACTTGTCGACCTAACTGAATATTTACACTGGATGGGAACAGCTGCTTCAGAGCAAGGAGCCGAGGGATGTGATTGACTGAGAGAGTTATTAGTAACGCCACCTCTCCCTTTGATATGTGCTTGATCCTCCTTGTACAGGATCATTCACCTAATGAATCCTTGAACATGGCTGTAATCTGTGTTTTTAAGACCTACAACTTAGTTGTGGTTGGATTACTAAAATAAAACTTTTATGAGCCTGTTTATTTTTTTTCCCTTCAAAGTCTGCTGAAATGCAGTTTGCAAGAGGGCACATTCACAGAAGTATGAATAAGTTTTTTTGACACAAGGTCATAACTAATCATAAATCCAAACCACATAGCATGCTAGCATGTGAACAGGTTAATTATTAAATATATGAGAATGAGAGTCCAGTAACTTTGTCAGTCATTTTATACTGTCATATTGTGTAAGTCATATTGTGCAATTCAGACTGCTCCTTTTTAACTCTCTCACCTCCAGCTCACTACAGTGGAGTCTGGGTTTGTCTAAGAACTGGATCTCAAGGAGACTCTCTCAGGTAAGTCATTTTAATTCCACATACAAGTCAAACAAGTCAAAAACACTTTAGAGTAGGTTTATCATTGTCAAAGTGGACAGCTGATGATGAATGTAAATGCAGATGTGTTTCAGGTATATACTTTTTATTCTACATCAAATTGCTCTTGTTTTGAAATAATAGTCTGACAGTGCAGGCGACATTCAAAAAAGTTCTACAATGGCTGATATAGTTTCCTGACCTTCAAAAGTTTCTTGACCTGAAAGGACTGTCCAAGTAGCTACACATATTATCATGTAATATTTCACTTCTGCCTTTCGTGATATATAGATTTTCTGTGAGCCTTTCTAAGTAGAAGTTTAAACATTTACTCGAGTGCAAGGATTCTCAAAGTGCTATTGAAAGAGTGCCTAATTAAGAATCTGGCACAAACACAAGTATAATGTTTCTAATGTTTTTATTGAGAGAATGGTGTTTTTTGTTGGTAACTGCCACTTCGGTACGCTTGCTAGTTTATAGTCAAATTAGTGACGTACCATTAACTGAAACTATCTATATTTGCTAAGTTCAGAAAAGTTTGGTCTGTTATGGTGACTTCAAAAATAAAGTTTGGTCATAATTATGTGCTGATTTTTACTGTTTATAACATCAACTGTAAATGGTTCGTCTTTCCTTCATGGGCCACACAAATTATTATCAAGGGGTTTCTTTTGTCCTGCTTTTTCTTTTTTTTAACCTTGACTCTAATTCATCACTCTTTGCATACCTACCAAACGCTTCTTCTTCAAAATTGTGAGTAACTCTTTCTAACCCTCTAAATGCTGAGAATCATCACACTTGATGATGCTATATTTCTAAGAAAGGCAAACTGACTTTTCTGGTTTAAAACAGTTAATAGCTTTTGATGCCTGTCAGTTAGACTAATAATTTTATTTGCTCCCTGATTGTTAAGACTTAAGAGAATAAGTTAATAAAAAAACCAAAAAAACAGAAATGATATATTATTATAGGGCTTCAGTTAGGATTAGGGCTGGTCCTGTTACTGATGACACGTGGACCTCAGAGGGTTAATATTATCTGTCTTGTAGTAGTGAGTCCAGATTTATACCATGACCTATTTTTCCTCTGAATTTGAAAGTGACAGTAGTTATTAGAATTAACATTTTAAAAAACATTGTAAAACTTTGTTTAAAATCAGTACTTTATTATTATAATGACAAATTACTATGTCTTATATAAATTAAACAGAATCAGAATCTGAATACTTCATTAATCCCTAAGGAAATTATGTGGTTACAGTTGTGCCAAGAAAATAACAGTAACAGTTATCATATATTACAAAGTTTACAAAATATAAGAAATAGCTTTAATTTTCCTGTAATTTTGGAATCACATTAAACTTTAAAGTTAAAGGCATTGTGGGCAACATACTTTACAGCTGTTTACAATTTTTTCAGTTCTTATAACCTCTGAAATTGTGAAATTTACCCCAGTGTGTCTAACATTATGCACTGAAATCAGAATACAACCATATGTTTATTAGATGACTCAGTATCATTTTAGGATTTGATACTTGATATGTGGTTTTTAATTACATCTGCAGGTTGGTACTCATCGTCTATGGCCCAGTAGCAGTATTGTCCAAAGGAGGATGTTGTTTAATCAGAAAATCAGAAAAAAATATGGAGTCTTCGGAGAACGATGATGCAAGGTAGGGATCCTTTTTTGAACTTTTTGTTCCCAAAATCTACTAAGCAAGATTTGCTCTTCAAGGACAAATAATGAAGCAGATTTACAGAATACTGTTTTGATACTTTTAAGGGTCAGAGTGAAGAGCCTTGTGTCTAAATTCTGTGATAAAGAATTGACAGGAATATCGTCTGGCTCTAGCGACAAGAGCAAAAGGTGAGAAGATCTTCCAAATGACAGCGCTACTAAAAAAATATAGAGATATGTCAATTACATGGTGACTTACTGGAAAAGGCTGCAAGTTGTTAGTGCTGTATTTAACCATCTGTTTCAAACCTTAGTAACCCATTACATGCCTTAAGTCTGTGCTTGCTACTCCGATGATTATGCTTCAGATGAATGGTCAATAGAAAATTTGATTATTTTGACACCTCAAGGTAGTGAATGAGTGCACATAAAATCTTTTCAGGTGTCCTCCAGCCCAGTATAACGGCAAAGTGGTTTAATAAACCCATCCAGGCATGAAAACACAGGTGTTGTCTGAGAAATGTAATGCAAAGCAAGAACCCCCCCAAAACAAAACAGAAAGAAAAAGAAGATGAAAAAACACAAAACGAGTCCACATTCGATTATGAAGCCAAGTCTCCTGGGTGAAGGTCCAGCAAATGATTTATGCTATAACTTACAAATCTGTACTCTTCTGCTATTTCAGTTTTCCGGTGACATTCACACTGACATGGTTTGATTTAAAAATGAAAATGATCTCTTTCCAGAATCGTTTTCCATCCATACAATTCGCCCGTGAAGGAACACACACTAGTCATGCCTCCTGTACATGCAGCATGATAAAGCAGAGACATTAACGCCAGAAAAAACTCCAGAAAAAAATTCTGTCATAGACCTTTAGTAAGGTTACATCTGTTATATAATCTCCAGTTAAGGCTAATGTCTTCGTTTCCTTACAGGAAATGATTCATGTGATAGAGATGTGGCAAGGGATGGGCAGAGACTGATAAGACCCAGTCAGGCAGTGAAAATAACTGGACACCAGGCATAAACCTTGCAAATGTATTTTGAAACAAAACATGCTCCATGATGCTGTTATCTGGATTTATGGCCCCCTTAGCAAACCAGAAGGTGGAGGAAGGGCCAACTACAGTAGTACAGTAATATTGCTGCCACTGATAACAATGTTAGAGGACACTGAACCTGACAATATTTAAAACACCTGCAGTTTGTGAAAAGGAAGCCAAGGTTTCATAAACTCGGGCTGAAGACACCAAGGCCAAAGTCAAAATTAAACAGTAACATGCTCACTTACACATTAAAAAAGTAGTTTAAGGAAGATGAAAAGATTGCTAACCTCATGCTAAATGTGACAGCCATTTAGCTTATCTTAGCAAAAAGACTCAAAATAGTAGGTACACACATCCTGCCTACCAATATGCATTCCTCAGGTAAGATCTCAGCATCTTATTTAAGCATGATGCAGTTTAAGGAACTATACTCTGCTTTGTCAGTTCAACTGAGAGCTTTGATAAAGACTCATTAACTTCCATTTACATGTAATACACATATCAAGTAAGCCCATGTGTGGAGAGATTTGTGTGTTATCATATCATGGAATCATTAATTAAATTTTTTACATTCATGGATTTTGTGATGTTTTCTCAGTGAGAAAACACCAGGCTCTGCACACTCTGTCTGTGCCTCACAGAGTTCCTCCAAAGACGTACCTCTCCATTTCAAGAAACATCTGTAAGATCTACCTTTGAGCACCCTACTGTAGCAAGCACATTTTAAAGG